AAAATACTAGACAATGATATTACAAATGGTCGAATACATTTAAACATACACAAATGCACACGTGGAATGAGGCTATGTTATATATGGTTAAAAATTTTCAACGGCAAACAAGAAAAAAACTTAGCACCGTTTCATACAACAGAAAGAAAAAAATGACAAAACGTTTTACTATGATGCTTTCTACTATTGTATCTTGACACATTCATTTCATGGCACGGTACCAAATGTCCATTATTTTTTTACAAAAGAAGTCAAACAGCAAAAAAAGAACGGTATAGACACAGAACAAAGAATATTAAATAGTCCAACAAAGATTTTTAACACAGCACAACTCTCACTTCTTAGAAAAATTTTTTTAGAGATTATAAGCGGTATATTCGACCTATGATGTGCGTTGTATTTTAGATCGTTACGACGCACGATCAGCGATGATATGCAGTATCATTGAAGGAAATAAAAAAAAAAAAGTAGTAAACAGAAGGAACAAACCACACAGAAACACACATTTTCAACAGCAAACAAGAGAAAAAAAGTTTTTGTTAATTGTTTTCAGTTAAAAATATTTATATGTTATCTCTCTCTCTCTCTCTCTCCCTTTCTCTCTCTCTATTTTTCTCTGTGAAAAGCATCCAATATGAGTGGGAACAGCTTTTTTTTTGAAAACTGGAAAGACAGAGTATGGTGCGGAAAAAAAGAAAAATGGACAGCGGCAACAACGAAATAAAAGTAGACACAAATAAATAAGGTTTCTTCTTCAAAGATGCCGTGCATTTAACGCACAAGCATGACGAACTCGAACAGAAATAACAATTGAAAAATAAGAAAAACAAACAAACAATCAGATTGAACTTGCTATAATTGAAACACCAATAGTATTTTCTTAACTAATTTCTTTTACTTTATTCGCTAAATTGACGTGACGAATCCATAGTCGATACACCGTTAAAGCCACCACCACGACGTAAATGACGATCATTAGCATTAGAACGTTGGTTCATAAAATCATCACTTCGACGTCCTCTGTAACCACCTCCAACACCCCGTCCACCTCTTGCACCTCGAAACATTCCTCGACCATCACGGTTTCTCATTGGACGATTATTACGAGAATTATTCGGATCATAATTAGGCGTTTTATTATGAGATTGTCCGCGACGATTTTCACCACGATGTGAAAGATTATTATTTAACATTTGCTGTTGTTGTTGATGATCAGAGACAGAATTATGACGTCTGGCATCGTTTTCTACCGCTCTAAGATGTGCCACATTAGATGGACCATTCTGATTAACTTCTGTGGACATCAGAGGCATTGGTGTTGGACTGACTGTTGCTGTTAGCGTTAATTGATCAACATTAGCTACTGGACTCTGCCTCGATTGATCTGTCTTTGTTAGAGGTGACTCTGCTCGAGGAGAAGTAGTTGTAGGCGTGTTAGACGAAGTGGGTTTTAACGGTTGATTTACGGTTGTGCCGTTTGATACTGATGACGTTGGCGGTGTAGTTGCAGCGGAAGATGATGGATGTTGTTGTTGATGATGATTGCCTGTGTTTAGATCTTCTGCAGAAGTCTTCTTTAAAATATCAGCATAAGACGGTAGGACCTGTTGGGATCTAGAAATAATTATAGCAAATGATGTTTCAAGTGTAACTGTCTGAAAGACTTCTCTATCCAGGTGATAAGTTTTCCTGATGTTTTATTCTCACCCTACGCCAGAAATGGTAGCGGGTCTAACTAACTAACTTCTTAGTTCTTGTGGACTTAGGTTTTGTCGGTCTCTTCAGGATACTCTAGTCCTAATCTAAAAAAGGCTATCGGGATATCAGTAATCGTACAACGTATTATTTTCCTCAAAAAAACAACAACTGAGAAAATGGTGTGTCGATAGCAGCAGAGATTAAAGTCTTATTTTCTGTTCCCAAACTTCTTCAACTAAATCAAGCTCACTTTTGACTGTTAGAATTTTTTGTTGAGTCTGTTTGCTGATGGGCAGAAGCTGACACTGATGATAGTTGTGTTACACTAGAATGTTGTGTAGATGTTTTATATGATGATGATGCTGCAACAGTAGGCGTGACCGGATTTTTTGATTGCGCAGAAGAATTATTTTGTCGGTTAGCTACTGATTGTCGTTGTTCCCTCGGCGCCATCAACGGTCTTATTTCTTCTTTTTGGAGCTTTGAGTATGTTTGTTGTTGAATATCAGATGGATTTGATTGTTGTTGTTGAGGTTTATTTTGTTGCTGTTGTGATTGAGATTTAATATTTGTTTGCGGAATCTTTACTGGTACGGAGACTGGTAGTGGTTGTTCTTGAGCAATATTTAACTGTGATGATTGTCTTTGTGATAAAGAACGTTGTGGTTGCGGCACCGACGAAGAGGTTGTGGAAGGCTAGAAATGAACTTAATACAGTTTTCTGA